GGTTCTTTATTAACAGTCTCATATTCCTTTTGAGACGTTTTTAATTATTTTTCTCTATTTCTTTTTTTGGTAAGATTTTTCAATCAAATTACCTTTTTACACCCACTTTTATTACTCTTACCCTTTTCTCTTTCCTACTTTATCATTTAAACACAAACACCTGACCTTTTACACTACCCCTATTATTTTCCCTTTAAAATTCGTGTCAAAGCCTAAAGGGAAACTTAATAAAGAACGGAGGGAGTATATCTTCGTAGTACAAAAATAAAAAGACTACTTTTAATGATCTGTTCTTCGATTCTTGCCTTCTAAAGTGCAAAATTTGTTAATTTTAACACAATTAAAGGTAAATAAAACATCTGATCTTTTCTATTAATAACATAGGTAGACCACTTATTTATTAAGAGATACTCCCTCCGTCCCGGGTAAAAGTTCTCGTTTTGATTTATGATGTTTGACTTGCCATAAAATAAAAAATAAGATTATTTTTAATCAATAAAATTTATTAAAGAAACTCAAATTCGATAATTTTTTTAAAGAAACTCAAATTTTTAACATATAAAGAAATTTCATTAAAAAGTATATAAAGTCACAAAAAAACTCAAATTCGATAAATGTCGGATATATAAAGTGAAAGATTAAGAATAATTTTATTTGACCGTATGAATATTAGACATGGACCTTATACTGGGACGAAGGTAGTACAGTTGGAGATATTTTTATCAAAATAATTTCTTACAAAATTTATAGAGAAAAATAGCAATAATTTAGTACGCAGTACTCAATTATAATTAATTGTATTACAAACTTCTCAATATTTATAATGAATAATTTAATAACACAATTTTTAATCAATAAATTTAAACATCTAAAACACAAATGTATAGTAATAATAGTTTTATTTTTTAAAATTGATGCCCCACATGATAGTGGTGTTCTACGCATATGTCTAGGTGCCTCCCCACTATAGCCGGCTCTACTTGTTTAGACTTTAGACATATGATAATTAATTCTATCTGTTCAATTGAATCACTCAAAGATATGAGGTTTAAATCACACTCTTTATATTTCTATAAATTTTATTTTACATTCTTATTTTTTCAATACATATTACTTTTCACTTTTCTTTCTTTAAGTATTGATATGTGGTTTTGTTTTTTCTTTTTTAGTTCAATGGCCTCAAAATTGTGTTTATACCATAATTTTTAATTAGTTTGAAATACAAAAAAAAACGAGTTCTAAATCATTTCTTCCTTCTTGTAATATTGACACACACACACACACTATCATTTAATGTCAAGAATATTTCTAAACATAAATTTTACCTTAACATAACTATTTACTTTTTCTTTAGTATAATAGCATTTTTATTTGAAACACGTTGTTTATACATACATACACACACACACACACAAACATACATACATACATACATACATACATACATACATACATACATACATACATACATACATACATACATACACACACACATACATACACACACACATACATACACACACACATACATACACACACATACATACACACACACATACACACACACATACATACATACATACACACATACATACATACACACATACATACATACATACATACACACACATACATACATACATACACACACACACACACACATATATATATATATATATGTGTGTGTGTGTGTGTGTGTGTATTTATACACACACACACACACACACACACATATATATATATATATATATATATATATATATATGTGTGTGTGTGTGTGTGTGTGTGTGTGTGTGTGTGTTTCGAATCAAATAAAAAGAGTTCCTCTCATGAAAATTGAGAATAAATGTCGTGCATTAAACTTGAGATCTAATGACTAAAAACCAGCCAACAATACACTACATTGTATAAAAAGTGAGGTGACAATTTGGTAAATAAATCAAAATTTTCTCTCATTGTACATGAAAAAATGTAAAAAATATCTACTACTGCACTAGAATGACAAAATAGTGCACCCATTTGCATTTTTCACGGGACTAACTCTTTTTATTCGAATCATATTCTCTCTCTCTCTCTCTCTCTATATATATATATATATATATGTCTATATATAATTATATATATAATGATTATTTTTCACTCGTTTTTGTTTTATCCTAAGAAAAAATTGTTTTGTAAACAAATATACGTACTTTGTATATAAGAGCAGCCCTCAAATTGTTCTCTAGTTCTTCCACTGCCGATAACCATCTATCCGATTGTTCTCCTCCAAACATTTGTCAATACATTTCTTCCCCGCCTCAATTTCTTTTTGAAAGTTTCTATTTCTTAGAGGTTGATATGGATGTTTGCTTATAGTCTCGGGTGAGTGTCGTATGCTCAATACAATTCTCGTTTTCCATTAACCACGCGTGTTCTTAATTTGAATAGGTCTCTCAATGTTTAAACGAATTACAGGAACAATTTCTCAATCCTTTGATAGTGTGTGCTCTCGGATAGTCGGATTTGGTTATATATATACTCTGCACCTCCCGGTTCGAGCGTCATTCGAACACCGTCGTTAAGGGCGGTTCCCGGCGGATGAGAAACATACACAAAACATTTCAACAAAAAATAATACCGGGAACCACCTCAAATTGAGGTGGCCGGTTTAATTTGTTTATTGTGTTACTTGTGTAAGGCCATCTCTAATGGTCTACACCATTTTTTACACTAAAATGGTGTTAACATCACATCATACAATATTTTATCTCCAACAGTTTACACCATTTTCAACACCAAAAAGGAATATTCCCTTTTTATTCTTTTCACTAACTTTTTACAATTCTTCTATTTAAGTATGTAATTATCATATATTTATACATTAGCCCCTCATTTAATATTTTGAGGTTATTAGCGGGTTGAATGACTACTAATTTCTAAATTAGTATGTACTATGTATTTTTTTAATTATGTTTTAATTTTAATTATAATGGTGTTATTAATTGCAATTTTAATTATGTAATTTTCTTAAGTATCATTTGTGTTCTGTTACTCCCTCCCTTCCCAAAAATACTTCCCACTTTCGTTTTTGGGTTGTTCCCAAAAATACTTCCCACTTTCTCATTTTGGACAATTTGTGTGGCTCACATTCATTTTACTTTTTTCTTACACAACCACAACCATACATTTCTATTTTATTCCACTTTCTTAATAAGCGTGTCAAGTCAAACCGGGAAGAATTTTTAGGAACGGAGGGAGTATTATGTTGTTTGGATTTGAAACTCTATTTATAATATTGTGTGATTTAAATTTTATTATATTTTTTTATTTTCTATAAAATTAATAATTTTAATTACTTGTTCTATACGGAGGTTTTTACTTGGATTACGATTTGTCCCAGATCAGATCAGACCGGATTCGACTAAACTTGAGTAGCTATAAAAATACAAAGAAATCAGACATAACCACATCAGTTCAGACCAGATCAGACCAAATCATACTGGACCAGATCAGACCAGCAAATTACAGTCCAAGTAAAAACATCCTAACTTGTTGTTCTAAAAATGGGTCAAAAGTATAACAACCAAAAGTTTTGGTCACATTTGAAACCCAAACTCCCACCCCCATATTGGTGAGAAGAATGGTGTAGTTGTAGCTATTGGAACAAGTTTTTGGCAAATAGACCATTTTGATGTGGGATTTGGTGGTGGGGAAGCTCTAATTCGATTAATGTCTCAGCAAACTAACACCCGAAGCAACCAGTGTTATTGTGTTGCATAAATTGTCAACTATTACCTCCCATATTCAACTAATCCATTAAGTAACATAAATTATTGTGTTAGTTTGGTGTCAACGTGCTCTACTGCTCTGTGTTGAAATTTGCTGGAAATTTATCACCAAACTAATTCATTAATTAGTTACTTCTTTTATGTTGTATAGATCCATCTTTAGTTTCTCTAAATGTAAATTTTGTTGTTATTATAAGTGCTGATTGGTGTTATCTCTGCAAATTGTTAGTAAGCTACTCAAAAACGCTATCATGCACAGTTAATCAAACTTATAAGAAAAATGGAAAAGTACTGTACTGTGAGATATTACTGAATGAGTTTCATATTCTTACCAATAAAATGTGTGGATAACGCTGGAACAACAAATGCACAGCTGATTTTTTAAAATTCAAAAACGGTTTACATAGTTAACTAATGACCACATTGTCAAAAAATTACTTCCTTCGTCCCGTACCCATAACCCGATCAACTTGGTTTTCCTCGTTTTAACCACTAGAGCAGTCACACAGCGGGTCCGTTCACAATTTTCATCCCTAAGGGTGTGTTTGGGAGTTGAGTTTTGGAGGGGAGAGGAAGGTTAACGGGTGTTTATGATCCTCCTTTTCATGTTTGGGAGGTTAAAAAATTGCAGAGAGTACGTGGTTTTGGAGAGCTTTTGTAACCCTTCAAAACCCTCCAAATGCTTAATTTTTAAGTTCCCCCGATTTGGAGGGTTATGGAGGATAATTAACAAGATGTTAATTTAAGCTAAATTAGAAACGAATATCAGTTCAATGATTTGAATTCTTCATATCTCAAAGTGATTTTAATTATAATTCCTTCAAAAACTCTCTCCTTCCAATTTTATTACTCCCAAATACAAAGAAGGATTTCCTCACCCTCCTCTCCCTTTCCCCTTCAACAACATACCTCCAAACCTTCCCCCTCTACTTCCCTCCAATCTCACGAGACCTTTTGAGGACAACTCATGGTAACGGGTACGTTGTCATTTGGTACTGATACTCTATCTGCTGTAACGTCAGGCAATAACACTGAAATAATGACGAAATTAATATAGGAAAAGCTTTTCCTAGCTATAAATGGCGGTAAGTCGAAGGTCGGCCAAAATGGGCTATATATAGTATATACTTCGTATCGTGTATATATATATATATATATATATATATATATATATATATATATATATATATATATATATATATATATATATATATATATATACTGATCCAAATTAACGAACTGAACATTTCCCACACGATCAATTATATAGATGAAGTCGCTAGAGATAGATGAGCCGCTGACGCCCGCCGGCCGGCTGTTTCTCCAACCGGAGATGAGCCAAATTATACACGCAGTCGCCGGTGTAAAGAATCCGTTCGACGTAGACGCCTTTAAATCGGCTTTCGCGAACTCTCTGCTGGTCAAACACCCAAGATTCAGTAGCCTGATGGTCAAAGATTCCAGCGGGCGCGAAAGCTGGCGGAGAACCCATGTCAACATCGACGACCACTTCGTCATCCTCCGGGAGCCTCTCACCGGCGACCGGTCCGTGTCGGATGAGGACGCGGTCAACGATTACCTCGCTGACCTCTCCGTCTCCACGCCGCTGCCCTCCGACAAGCCGCTGTGGGAATTCCATCTCCTTCTCGCCCATAAATGCGCCGTTTTCAGAATCCACCACGCCCTTGGCGACGGGACTTCAATCATGTCCTTATTCCTCTCTTGCTGCCGGAAAACCAAAAGTTCCAGCGAGCCGTCGTCATTGAGTGGCGTCGGAGAGGGACGGCGGCGGAGGTGGGGCCTCAAGGAGGTGGCGATGGTGGTGTGGTACACGGTGGTGTACGTGTTGGAGTTTATACTGAGGAGTCTGTGGCTGAAGGATAAGAAGACGGCTCTGAGCGGCGGCGCTGGGGTGGAGCTCTGGCCGCGGAAATTGGCCACCGCTAAGCTTACTATTAACGACATGAAAACAGTTAAGAAAGCGGTTGCTGACGCGGTAAGTCTCTTTCCGACTTGTAACGTCCTTAATTTCTCACCAACCATTTATGGACAACAATAACCGACATACTCCCTCGTCCCATGAGACTCCCACCTTTCTTTTTGGGTAGATTTTATGGTACTCTTAAGGTATCATACTTTTGTCCACGTGGATCAATGAGAATGTAGTAGTTGAATTATTTAAATCTAAATTAGAAATGATAAATTGATGTGGTCAAATCAAATGAATGATAGGTACGATACTCCATTTTTTAGAAAGGTACCGAATATTCTCACCTTCTTTTTTTTTGGATGTGTCAACAAACATTGCCTTTTCCATTTATACCAAGTAACATATATTATCATCCGTTATGTTTTAATCGCAACACGTTGAATTTTACACTATTCATATGTATTACTTTGACTACATTTTACGCTATTATTTTATGAAAATTATTATTTTAAAAAAATATTGTTCAATTCATCTCATTACAAATTTTCAAAATCTGATTTTTAATATTTTTTACTAATAGAATTAAGATACAATTACGATCAAAGGCGTGTGTTGGCAAATGTGAAATTTTGACCGTTGCAACTAAAAAAGAACGGAGGGAGTAGTTAAAGTTATTTCTCTCTTCTTTGAACAAATTTTAACTATACAGTTTTTACTTTATTAATATCTACGTACAAGTCAATATTGGCAAAGTTTTGTAGAACAGAGGGAGTAGCAATTAAGGCTGAGCATAATTCGGTCTGGATCAGAAAATTGACCGGTCGGTCCAGACTGGACCTGGACCGGATAGATATCGGACCGGTCTTCGGTCTAAGCCCCAAAGGATTTACTGATTCCAGTTAAGTCCGGTCTGGTTCAGTCCAAAACCTGGAGTATTCCGATCTTGATGGACAAGTATTAAATTATTACTCCCTCCGTCCCCCAATTAAGTTACCACTTTCCTTTTTGGGCAGTCTCTAAATTAAGTTCACACTTCCTTATTTTCCTTATTTGGCAAATTATCTACATCAAAACAGTGCAAAACAGTGCCAAAACGTGTCAAACAATGTTTGAACAATGCAAAACAGTGCACTCCACAGAAAAGTCAAATTTATTTTCTTAATACGTGTGAAGTTAAACCGGGAACATAATTGGGGGACGGAGGGAGTATATACTACATCCGTTCCAATGGATATTGCACTTTTGAGCTAGGTGAGAGATAATAATAGTAAAAATTGTGTGATTGAGATTTGTGCAGATGAGAGAGAAATGAGTAGAACCACAAATTATGGCAATGTTTTTTGGGACAACCAAAATGAGAAAGTTAGCAAAGTCCAATGAGACTGAAGGAGTATATGAATACACACACATATGTATATATAGAGATTCAAATACAAAGGACTTCGAAAAATGAGAAGTAATATTACTTGTTAAAATGAGAAAATAAGTGGATGAGGTCAATTTTAAAGTGAAAAATTCAGTGTCAAAAGTGTAAATATTAAGAACTTTTTGAAAAGTAATGTGATATGTGTGCATTACTATGAAGGAAAGTGCATTGAACTAACACAAATTAAAAGTGCATCACTTTTTGAAAATAAAAAAACAAATATAGAAATCATTTTCTGATGTTTTTATAGAAATTGCCCAATATAGGAGTAAACATAAACATAATTGCACAAATAGGAGTAAAACTTAAAACTTCCTTCAATAGGAGTAAACATAAACATGTTTGCACAAATTTTGCTCCTATTTGGAGAATTCTCTCATGTTTTTAAGAAGGTGAATGTGCACCCTTACATATCACTTCTATCTTACATATCACTTCCCACTTTTCATGATATGGGAAGACTCATTTGTATTAGAACTCACCCTTATAAATATGTGTGTTTGTGTGTGCTGCATATTATCTATTACTATTAGTCTATTCTATGAGTCTTGTATGAGTCTCGTGCTTCATTGTTGATTTGAGCCTATTCTTTTTATCACAATTAAAACCTTCAAATAATTGTAAAATTTATATATATGGTGCGGTTCCAATAAAAAGTACTCTAGTTTTAATATACAAAATGTGAATGGTTCCACTTTTGAGCAGGGGCGGAGGCAGGGTTTAGTCTTAGTGGGGGGGGGGGGGGGGGGGTGTGCAAAAAGGAATACAAACAATAAAGAGAAAATTATCTAAATAGGGTTAAAATAAAAAAAATGTTCATGAATAGGATTATCATTGTTTTCTTCTCAAAATAAGACTTATTCACTCCTATTTCGATAAATTTTAATCAATTTATTTTTTATAGGACTAAATAAGATCTATTTGAGGAATTTCCTATTTTTTTATAGAGTAATCTTCCGGTCAGGAATTTCCTGACCGGAGCCCCGTCCGGTCTCCGCCGTTTGGGGCGGTTCCCGATAGTATTTTTTGCTGAAAATATTTTTGTATGTTCTTCATCAAGTCTAGTTTAACCACACCACATTTCAGCTAAAAACTCAATTGGCAAGGCAGTCAAATGAGTTTTGGAAGATAACTGCACCAAAATATATATATATATATATATAACACAATTATCTTCCAAAAATCATTTGACTGCCTTCCTGATTGAATTTTTAGGTGAAATTTGGTGTGGATAAACTAGTCTTGATGAAGAACTTGAAGAACATACAAAAACAATTTAGCAAAAAATATCACCGGGAACGGTCCTAAACGGCGGAGGCCGGACGGGGCTCTGGTCAGGAAATTCCGTGCGGGAGAATGCGGGAAACAAATTCGTCACCCAAAGGTGCTCCGTAACCACTACTTCACAAGAATCCTGTTCTACATTTTTTGCATGACATGTTAGGGTGAAAAGATAAATCTGTTCTTTTCATTCTTCAATTACAACCGGTCATATATAGAACATAATAAGTATGTTTGAGAGTTGTGTTTTAGTGGGGAAGAGAAGACTTAGGGTAACATTATCATTATTGTTACTGAGTTTCACATTTACTGGTGTTAATATTTTTATTCTTATCGTCGTCATTATTGTTATTAGCATCAATATTATTATTCTTAATAGAATGTTTTCTATATATATAAACCCACCATCATTTGTACTCCGTACATGAATTCATTGAATTGGGCATCATTATAGACAATAATAACTATCTTTTTTTTCAATAGGACTCCTTCACTTCAAATTAGGAAAATGTATGCCTTTAAGGGAACTAAATAATTTCTATTTCAAAAATAAAACATAATTACTCCTAATTATTTTAAAGAGAAGCAGGCAGACTTGCGTAGTATTTTTTTTGTATTATTTCGTATGTAACGAATAAATACAAGGTTACAACATATATACATGACTCACGAGAAGTCCTCTTCTGCCAACTAACCACATGCTACAAAACCGGAAGAAAATACATGGCTACAATTTGATTCCTAAAACAACTCAACTCCTAGTCGTACTTATCACAAACGACGTACGTACTAGGAATAAATGTACCAAAAATTATGTTACAATAAAATACACACCAACACCCCCCTCAAGATGGAGCATGGGGATCACAAATGCCCATCTTGGCAAGCAAATAAGCAAATTGGGAAGCTCCAAGTGCTTTTGTCAACAAATCTGCGGGCTGCTCAGTGGTGGATGTATAGGATGGAGAGATTGTACCAGCCTGTATATGATCCCGAATAAAATGACAGTCAAGCTCGATGTGCTTGGTTCGCTCGTGATAAACTGGATTAGAGGCAATGTGGAGAGATGCCTGATTGTCACAATAAAGTCTCACTGGAGTATTATTTTTATTGCATTACAATAAGTTTTCTATGATGAAACAATTGTGCAGACCATCAATGATGTACTTTTCGGAGTAATTGCATGTGGGCTATCAAGGTACCTTGCCATCCGATCCTCCAAAGGTAAATAAATTATTAGTACAAATTATAGATTAATAACTTTTTTCGTAATATTACTAATAAACTGGGGTGTAGCGAGGACAAATTACTAGGCTAGGTAGGTAAATATTTCTTTAAATAAATTTTTACATGAAAGTTTTACACAAATACTACCTCCGTCCCAAATAGATTTGCAAATTTTATTTTTCTTGATCAAAAAGTTTCATTTTATTTGTTTAATTAAGATGTCAATTTTTAATTATATTCTAATTTGTAGTTTACAACTTTGAAGAGATTTTAATGTAGTTTCTGAATATATAAATTTTAGTTATTAAAAATTGAATTAGTTATCATTAAGGAGCATTGACTTTTTTTATCGGTTGACCAAAAAATGTTAACTTTGGAAAACTTTTTTAAATTTTGGAGCGGACATGTAGAGAGGTTTAGCATGGCCCCTAACTGATCCCAAATAAGAAACCACATATAGACAAAAAAGATTTTATGAATACTATTATTACTAGAAAAAATATCAACTAAGGTCAGCGCAGATTTGCACATGTATACACACACATATAAAAGTCATATGTTGCCTCTTTTCTTGTTTTTTAGTCTAGGGGCGTCTGAGGAGGGGGTCTGGTGGCCTGGAGTAATCAGGGATGAACTAACTCCACTGAGTTTCGAATCCGAGACCTCCCGTAAGGGAGAGTGAGTTGGTGACCAGCTGGGCTGGACCGCTTCCTCTCTTGTTTTAATTGTATATTACTGTAAGGGAGAGTGAGTTTGTGTTATACCGTTACAACTAAAACTACACAGCTTCTAATGAGAAATATAAAACTGAGTTATCGTGATTCACGTCCATACAAGGAAAAAAAACACATTTCCTAAACGAAATTGCATGTGGTGTAGAATTGAAGGATGGCCTCCAGATCACTGGTCTTGCGATGGTAAACTTACGACCACAACCAGGACTTCAGGTATTTAGTTTAGTACTTTTAATTTTGTATACTTCACGTTTATCAACACACAAGTTTAACCATTAATATCATTAAAAAATGACAATCGTATCACTATTTGACTTTCATTTTCCAAAACTATGACTATTATTCCATATTCCAAAATTATGACTAAAGTCAGCCCTTCATCTTCCGCCCGCGGCCCATTTACTTCCGTCCGCACAACAAAGCCTCTCCGCCTCCATCGACGCACACGAAGCTCCAACAACAAACTCTCCAGCGGATCCTCACCCACCACGCTTATTCTCTCCGCCGCCACTGCTCTTCGGCCGCCGTTGCTCTCTTCTTCTTCTCATTTCTTGCTGCAACTGCTACCCGTCGTCTTCCTTGCTCGATTGCCGCACTTCTCTGACTGATGGTCGATGGTTGCCCGAAGTCGGCTCGGATATGTCGGATCCACCGTCCTAGAAGTCGTTGAGGGACCTCAACAGCCGGACCGCCTCTTCCTCCGTTGTTTGGTCGTTGCTACTTGGCCGACGCTTCATGGTTTCAGATCTGGGCGGTGGGCGGTTATGGAGGTGGGCTGGCCTGCTAGGGAGGTGTTGACGAGCACTTTGTCACGGTGCGTCAAAATAATTTTCAATACTAACACTTATACGTAGTATAGCGTAGTAGAGTTCGTATCCACAGGGAAAGGAATAATTCTCTTTTTATGATACTTAGTAAGTAAAAAGGGGGGATTTGGATTGAGTGATTTAATTTAATTAAAAACTAAGATGAACAACCTATATGTGTTTAATTCAAAGATAAAAAGGACTTGGCATTGCTACTTTCCACTTGTTGATATATTTTAGTCGATCATTGTTATATCTGTAACTTATTCCCTCTCGAATACTCAATCGGGGAGTATATCCACTTCATCGAGGGTAGTTATTAACAACGACCGTTCATTAATAACCCTTACTATTAATCAAATATAGAACAACGCCTTATACCGATTTAATAGTAGCATTTAATCTTTCTAACTCCTTGATGAAATCAATTGAGATTGATAACCTCAACACAAGCGGTTTCGGTTTAACCAACAGAATTAATCCCTCTTAAGTTTATTAACCACGACCGTGCATTAATAAACCGAAGTTACTTACTTGTGAAACCATCAACGATTAACCATCGGTTCGTTGATCGTTTCTAGTAATAATTAATATATGAAACAAAACTAGTTGATCCTTTAAGTAATGTTCAAAATATTAATATGAAATATGAGTAGGGATTAATTAATATTCAAGGAAGAATATTATTAAAGAAGATGAATCCTACTATAATTAATATCAAGATATTAACTAATTGTCATCTTAGCAACACTCCTCAATATTAATATAGAGGAAGAAAACATCATTCTAACTAATGTCGAGATGTTAACTAATTGTCATCTTAGCAACACTCCCCAACATTAATATAGAGATGATATTAAGGAAAGAACTATTAATTAATATTCAAGGAAAGAAGTTAAGAAAATAACTCACAACTTTAATAATCAACAAGCTTCAAGAGCAACACCAAGAATGGAAGTTTAGCTCCTCATTTGGAGACTAAACATAGCTAGAAAAATATAAACAAATGCTATTCTAAACTGAGCTAAAGAGTATGGAAGAAAGGATGATTTTTAGAGGAGAAAAAGAGTGCTATTTATAGGTGTTTTTCAACACCTTTGGCCGGGTACCCGACCGGGTCAAGTACTCACCTGACCGGGTCCATGTCAAAATCAAATATCCTCCACGTTCTGGCGATCTTCAGCATGTTAAAGTGTCCGGGTCAAGTCAGACCCGACCGGGTGGGGTAGGGGACCCGACCGGGTGAGTGCAAAAATTGGATTTTCTACACGTTCGGGTGATCTTTGCACACCGGGTTGTCCCCGGTCACTTCTCACCCGACCGGGTGAGGTAGTGGGCCCGACCGGGCCATGCACTTTCTTTGCATTTTCGTTTTTCACTTCTTACCCGACTGGGTCAAGTATTATACCCGGTCGGGTATTTGCTCCTGGGCAGCCAAATCTTCTTTTTCTTCACTTCAAAGTCTTCCTTTCCAAACCATAAATCCTAACTAAACTTTACAACTGACAAAAATAGACTAAAATACAATTACAACTTGAAATCACATAAATGTTTACAAACTAAATAAAACGTCAAACAATTAACATAAATCACACATAAAAACATGTAATTATGCACTACTAATTAGTGTGCATCAAACACCCCCACACTTAAACCTTTACTCATCTCGAGTAAATCAAATCAAATCCAAGAAGTCCTAAATGACAAGAATATCAGTATAAAACATCCAAGAGTGTTTTTACCACAATACAAAGCATCCCCAAATAATAATTAAAGTAAATGGTGGTCTTCAACCTCATCTTTATCTCCATTTCTCTTTTGAACTTATCACCTTCAGGATCCTGCAAAATAGACATTTCTCTCATTCTCTCGTTTTGCCTAGGTGCCCTTCCAGGTTTTCAACCTAGCTTCCCACATTTTTTTTTTTTTTCAAATCTCACAAACTCACTCTTATTTTTGCTTTATTTTTGCTTAAGCTGCCCTTTGTGGGTTTTCAACTCAACAAGCTTTCGTTTTTTTTTTTTGAGATAACAAGAATAAAGAGTGTGAATGTGAACATACCGGGAAGATCTCTTCACCCCCACACTTAGGATCTGACACTGTCCCTAGTGTCCGCCTAGACCTCCACCTTGGTGTCCGTCCTCATCCATGTGATCCCCGCCATAACCATCATCGTAGCCTCCACCACCGGAGCTTGATCCTCCAAAAAATCCCACTGAGAGGGGTCATACCATGATGGTGCAGGAGGTGGAGTGGTCATAGAGGAAAAGGAGCCCCGGTGTGCTATATATGAGTATATCGGACCAAAGGTTCTACGCTGATCCTCCTCAGATCTCCGTCTGTCTTCCTCATACCTACGCCAGTCTGCTTGCCGCTGCTCCTCCATCCTCACAATGCTCTGGTTGAGCGTGACCATGTTATCGAGCATTTGTTGCTCGAAAGGTGTGTAGTGGAATGCTTGAGGTTGTGGTTGTTCGGGTATGATTGGGGGTTCTGGGGGATTTTATGGGTATAGAGATGGAGAGGGAAGTGAGGAGATGAAGAAAATGGGTTTTTTTAGTGGATTTGGTTAAGGGAATGGGGATATTCGAAGGTTTGAGTGTTTGAAAATGGTGGAATTTGGGTGTTTTGGGTGGTGGGAGGAAGGAGAAGTGGGAGGGGAGGGGGTGAGCCCGACCTGTTATTCAGTGATTTCCCGTTCACCCCGGTCGGGTGAAGTATCCCGCCCGGTGGGGCTGTGCAATGTTATGTTATCCAGTAGCTACTGGAATGAGTACCCGGTCGGGTGCTTTAGGGTACCCGGTCGGGTCTTTCTGATTTTTTTAAAAAATAAATTCGTACCCGCCCGAGTTTCAGAAATACCCGAATGGGTATGCATTCCAGTGTGTTTGGAGCCAAAAAATGCGCAGACCCGGTCGGGTTCTGGAAGGCCCCGGTCGGGTATATGTTTTTTTTTTTGTTTTTGCTAGCAACCCGGTGGCCTTGTGCCCGGGTGTTCCTTTTTTATTAGTAAACCCGACCGGGCTGATTGGGATACCCGGCCGGGTTTCAGCCCAGGCTTTTTTTTTTTTTTGAAAAAATTAAAACACACGAACTGAGAAAAAAAATGAAATTAAAAATAAAGATTTGGGTTGCCTCCCAAGAAGCGCTTGATTTAATGTCGCGGCACGACGTTATTTTTAGTTTATATTTTTTTTTTGTTTTTATGTGGGATCGTGAACATCCCTTGTTTCATTTTTCCTTTTCGGCCTTCTCCAGTAAGGCCGGGATTTCTTTCCCGGTATCACTTCAATCCCAGGTGGGATCCATTCTCTCTTTGAAAATTTGAATAATTCTTCTTTTTCAAAAAGTTTGATTTTCTCATTTTTTTTTCCAACAAAAATATTCGGGGTTTGTGGTTCACAAACATTTAGAGCACAAAGAGATTGGTCTTTAATTTGTTTTTTCGTAGAATCAAAAATGTTGAATTCTACCTTTTGATCATCAAACTCTAAAGTTAATGAACCATTAGCCACGTCTATTTTTGTTTTTGCGGTTTTCAGAAAAGGCCTACCCAAGAGGATGGGTGTAGTTTGATTATCATCTCCCATTTCCAGAACATAAAAATCGACAGGGAAAATCAAATTTTCTACTTCTACTAGCACATCTTCTACTACACCCTTCGGGTAGGTATTAGACCGATCCGCTAGTTGAATCACTACACCAGTTTGATGTAGTGGGCTGAGTTGTAAGGATTTGTACAAAGAAAAAGGAATGACATTTATTGACGCTCCTAAATCCAACAAGGCCTTAGAAAATAAGGTATCCCCTATTTTTCAAGGAATAGTGAACATGCCTGGATCGCTACATTTCTCAGGGAGTTTCTTTTTAAAAATGGCCGAGACACGTTCACTCACTTCAACTTTTTGTTTCCCTTCCAGTTTATTTTTCTTTTTCATTGTGCATAGTTCCTTTAAGAACTTTGCATAACGGGGAACACTTTTGATCAGTTTGAAGAGTGGGATGTTTACCTCAGAATTGACGAATGTTTCGTAGATGTCCCGATCATTCTTCAGCTTCCTCGTGTCTTTCAATGCCTCAGGGAATGGAGGGAGTGGTTCATATGATGACAGTGGAGGGAATTTAGTCTTCGTTGGCTTCTCCTCTTCTTGTTGAAAGCCTTCTTCAAGATCAACCTCTTGCTTCTCCTCCTCAACTTCCCGTGGTTGCAATTCTTTACCGTTCCTCAACATGATTGCATTGACATGTTGTCTCGGGTTTTGCTCAGTTTGGGAGGGGAGCCTACCCGAATCTTTTGCTTCAAGTCGACTTACGGCATTTGAAATTTGGCTAACTTGAGTTTCCAAATTTTGAATGCTCGACTTGGTTTCATGTTGGAATTGCATCATTGTTTGTTGGAATTGCCCC